GGCCTGAATGCAAGCGTCACGTCTGGAGGAAACCTGGCACCATCCCTACGGTGAAGCATGGTGGTGGCAGCATCATGCTGTGGGGATTTTTTCAGCGGCCGGGACTTGGAGACTAGTGAGGATCGGGGGAAAGATGAACAGAGTAAAGTACAGAGAGATCCTTGATGAAAACCTGCTCCAGAGCGCTCAGGAACTCACACTGGGGCGAAGGTTCACCTTCCAACAGGTCAACGACCCTAAGCACACAGCCAAGACAACGCAGGAGTGGCTTCGGGACAAGTCTCTGAATGTCCTTGAGTGGCCCAGCCAGAGCCCTGACTTGAACCCAATCAAACATCTCTGGAGACCTGAAAATAGCTGTGCAGCGACGCTCCCCATCCAACCTGACAGAGCTTGAGAGGATCTGCAGAGAAGAATGAGAGAAACTCCCCAAATACAGGTGTGCCAAGCTTGTAGTGTCACCCCCAAGAAGACTCGAGGCTGTAATCGCTGCCAAAGGTGCTTCAACAAAGTACTGAGTAAAGGGTCTGAATACTTATGTAAATGTAATATTTCTGTTTTTTATTTGTAATACATTTGCAAACATTTATAAAAACCTGTTTTCGCTTTGTCATTATGGGGTATTGTGTGTAGATTGAAGAGGGGAAAAAAACTAATTAATCAATTTTAGAATAAGGCTGTAACAAAACAAAATGTGGAAAAAGTCAAGGGGTCTGAATACCGTCCGAATGCACTGTATATTCACTCTTATTAGTAGAAATATAACCTGTAATAGTGGGACACGTGCCAGGACTCATTATGTGTGTGTGTATTTGTGTTTTTATGTGTGTTTTTGTGCGTGTGTGCACATGTGCGTGCACGTTGATATGTGTGTGTGTCTGCATGTGTGTTTGTGTGTGTGTACACTCGTACGTGCACATTTCTTATGTGTGAGTGTGTGTGCACACGTAAGTGTGTGTGTGTGTGTAAGTGTTGTCACAATACCAGAATTTTGACTTCGATACTGATACCAGGTTTAGTATCACAAGACTCGATACCCTCACGATACTTGATACCAATACGATACCACAGCAAAACAAGAAGGCGTATTAGTCAAAGTCACAGAATGGCACACGATCCAGACAGACCTTTTGAGTTCAATATCATTACATCTGAAATTTTAGATTTTTGAATGTATGCATTAATTAATCAATTATACAATCATTTCAACTTGTTTTGGCTGATTTCATGAGGCTACAGATGAAAAATAATCTGTTTACCTTCCATTTTGGACTTGAGACGTGAGGCGGGGGAGACGAAGGGAATGAATACAGTTTTTGGTGACAATCAGCTTTGTAATCAGCAATATTTTGTGTTATGGTTGTGCATATTATCACAAACAAGGTACTCTAGTGAATTGATGTTGGCTTCAGCTGTAAGCTAGCAAGGAAAGTTAGCCTACAAAGCTGGAAGCTACCAGTATCTTCTTGCATTGTAGTGTTCTAGCCTGTACTGGACATTGCTTTGGGAACAGTAATTAGCAGTTTCAACATTTCTACATGCCGTGTTGCATTAATCAAGTGTTTTAACTTCTGTGCAGCATGAGTGGTGATGCAGCCCAGACTCCCAGTTCAGAGGTTCTTCATGGCAGGCTAGAGCTAGCAATTAGTAAGTTGAGCAGGCACGGGCTCTCGCGCTATGGGGACATCGGCTGCGCTGATACACAGACGTGATATTCTCTCAATCAGTAGACAACGTGAGACACATTTGACAGAAGTACCGAAAGTAACAAAAATTCTAGTACCGAACCGTTTTTCATGTTCTAGTATCGAAAAAGTACAGAAGTTTCGGTGTAACGTGCAACACTAGTGTGTGTGTATGTGTGTGAGTGAGAGCGTGAATGTGTATCCACTCAGGATAGCCATGCTGCTCTGTGCCACCTGGGCCAACGGCACGTCCCTTACTGACACCTCCAGCTCCACCACATCAATAATGGATTCACTTCTGTGAACTGCAAATGTTGCTTTTTCTAAATTGAGTCCCTCTCATGCACAGACGAAAGGCCGGCTGCTGTGTAGGTGCTGAATAATGAGGCCCTACCCAGACACATGAGGACAGGCCGGCCGCTGTAGAGGTGCCAAATGATGAGCCCTTACCAAAATACATGATCTCCCAATTACCTCCTCATCAAAAACACAAAACAAGCAGATAAAGCTGTTAATTTAGGCTCCTCTTCCACTGGGCTGGGTAATGTCTGAGTCTGTGTTTGTATCAAGGCGCTTCTAGTGGCGCAGTAAACACAATATGTCTCATGACAGGAGTTACATCTAAAGCAAGTGCAAATCTGTGTGTATTTATGTAAGGTGAATGTTACAAAATGTTGGCTATGTAAGAGAGTTGGCTGTTTTAATTCATGAAATGTCCTGTGTGTTCCAGTGGCACTAAAAAAGCAGTCTTTTTGTGCATTAGTGGCAAGTTGGCATGCTCTCACTTCATAAACCGGTGGTTGCTTTTCTGACACCCATCCCCCTCTCCCCATTCAGAGCAATTCATATGAGATGACCAGAGAGGAGAAACCCACTGCAGATTCCCAGGGTTATCATGGTTTAGAGCTTGATTCAAGCAGCTTACTATTTATCAGATTACTCTTTTTAGAAGAATAAATCACTCAGTCAGTCAGTCAGTCAGGGACATATGGAATGCTTTAGGTTTCACAGAACTCAATGCTGAAGTGACAGAAGTCACATATTGCATAACTGATGGTCTTCTGGCAGAGTGTGTGTGTGTGTTTGTGTGTGTGTGTGTGTGTCGCTGAGAATGATTACCAAGTCTGCATTGCACTGCTTCCCTTTCCATACAAGCTTTCTAATATAGCTGGTGTGCCATCTACGAGAGGGTCCACGTAATAACAACATACATTGCCTTCAGAAAGTATTCACACCCCTTGACTTCCACATTTTGTTACAGCCTGAATTCAAAATGGATGAAATATATGTTTTTCTCACCCATCTACACACAATACCCCCTAATGACAAATTGAAAACATGTTTTTAGAACTTCTTGCAAATGTATTGAAAATGAAATACAGACATATCTAATTTACATAAGTATTCACACCTCAATACATGTTAGAATTACCTTTGGCAGTGATTACAACTGTGAGTCTTTCTGGGTAAGTCTCTAAGAGCTTTGTACATCTGGATTGTACAATATTTGCACATTATTCTTTTTTAAATTCTTCAACCTCTGTCAAGTTGGTTGTTGATCATTGCTAGACAGCCCTTTTCAAGTCTTTCAATAGATTTCCATGCCAATTTAAGTCAAAACTGTAACTAGGCCACTCAGGAATATTCAATGTCGTCTTGGTAAGCAACTCCAGTGTATATTTGGCCTTATGTTTTAGGTTATTGTCCTGCTGAAAGGTGAATTTGTCTCCCAGTGTCTGTTGGAAAGCAGACTGAACCAAGTTTTCTCTAGGATTTTGCCTGTGCTTAGCGCTATTCTGTTTTTTTTTTATCCTAAAAAACTCCCTAGTCCTTACCGATGACAAGCATACCCATAACATGATGCAGCCACCACCGTGCTTGAAAATATGAAGTGGTACTCAGTGATGTTTGTGCTGGATTTGCCCCAAACATAATGCTTTGTATTCAGGACATAACGTTCATTTCTTCGCCACATGTTTTGCAGTTTTACTTTAGTGCCTTGTTGTAAACAGGATGCATGTTTTGGAATATGTTTTATTCTGTACAGGCCTTCTTCTTTTCACTCTGTCTTTTAGGTTAGTATTGTGGAGTAATAACTACAATGTTGTTGATCCATCCTCAGTTTTCTCCAATCACAGCCATTAAACTGTAACTGTTTTAAAATCACCATTAGCCTCATGGTGAAATCCCTGAGCAGTTTCCTTCCTCTCCGACAACTGAGATAAGAAGGACGCCTGTATCTTTGTAGTGACTGGGTGTATTGATACACCATCCAAAGTGTAATTAATAACTTCACCATGCTCAAAGGGATATGTAATCCATTCTAAATTCAGGCTGTTAACACAACAACATTTGGAAAAAGTCAAGGGGTGTGAATACTTTCTTAAGGCACTGTACTTACAGACTATCACTGCGTAAGTGGGAGGCTTGTAGAGCCTATAGAATTCAGTTCAGCCTGTATCAGTAAGGGAAGAGGTTCAATTGGAAACTGCTTTTAATGTATGAGGACAGAGATCAAAGCTTTGCTTTACACCACACTCCATTAGAATACCATCTCCCTTAGGGAACCAAATAATGCAGCTAGCTATGTGGTGGTTTTATCTTTCCTAACAGTTAAAAGGTAGTAGGCCCTATTTACAAAAATATTTTAAACAGGGACAAAATATCAACTCCATTTGCTGATTGTGAATAATGTACTATTTGTCCCCAGATAACCATGAAGTTACATAACAATATTCATGATTTAGTTTAATAACACACCCCTATGAATATTCACTTTTATGCACTTACTTGAACTTACGTGTAGGCACTTACATGAACTGAAAAGCCCATTTGTACAGTAAAGACAGTCATCAGGTTTTCCATTTTGGCAGGGAAAAGAGTAAAACCATTTTCCTTTTAAATTGTCTCTTCATTGCCTTTGATGATAGTTAAAGAGTTTGTTTAGATTCATGACCAACTATAACTTGACTGCAGGGGGTTTAGAGAATAGCATTTAAGCAGCATTACGATAAAGTATATTATTCATGAGTTAGAAAGGCTGCTGAAAATTTTAGGGTGACACATTATCCATGTCCTCAGAAAACTGTAATTAGAAAGCAAGGGCATAGACTTTTTTAACACGCTTATGCACACACAAACACGCACACGCATACACACACCACCACACATACATTTAGTCCGTTTAAAACTTACATTGGAGTCGAGCAGGTCTATGCTGTCCAGGCTCTTGCTGCGGTGAATGCGGCCCTTGATCCTGCGGAGGGAGGGCTTGCCCTGGCTCATGGGCAGCGAGAGTGTGGAGGTGGCAAACATTACACTGCATCCTCCTATAGCACCAGAACCACACATAGCACCTGCACGAGCAGCGGCACGAGCAGCTGCAGCACTTTCTGCAGCTGCTTCTGCTGAATCCTGAGCTTCTGTAATGGCAGCGGACGAAGCCGCGGTGCCTATCCCCGTGGCACCTATCCCTGACAATCCATCTGTGGGAGTCACCCTGGAACACAGAGGGACAGGGACAGAGACACCACATTAGTGTTAGCATACAGTACATACATAATCACAACCACACCACACACTTTCAAAATGGAGGGACAAAGCTCAACGCTAGCAGCACAGGAGGAACTGAGGTAAGAGACAGCGGATACCCAGCTGAATACAGGATAGATCAAAACGTTTTTTTTCCACCCTTTCCTCTTCATTTCTTTAAAGGACACTTTTCCCTGTTGGGTTGAGTGGCATTCAAGGCAAGTGTGCATAATTGGGTGTAATGTCATGTGGTCCCCGGGGGACAGAGGTATGGAGCATCCTTCCTTCTCCTCCATTATTCAGCCAGAGCTAGGCTCTAACATGCACCGCCACACTCTCCCACTGAAGAGAACCGCTAGCTGAACAGCACAGCCAGGGCCCAAGGCCACACTCATCCCCCCTCAGACCCCCAGCCTGGGGGAATCCAGATGCTGGAGAGGAGAGGGGCTTCTGGAGGCTGTTCTGTCACAGTGGATAATTTATGCGGCTGCTGCTGCTGCTTAGGGGAAAACTATAACCTTTATCCTCATATCCGGCCCCACTGTCAAATAGCCTAAAACTGCTATAGCCCTCCGAGTTTAGGAATCAAACAGGCAATGTGAAAGCTGTGAGGAAGTGAGAGAGGAAGTGGTAGAACTCTGTGTCAAAGATTGTAGGGGCATCACGATTAAGCTCCTAAAGGTTTGTAATTGGCTCTGTAAACGTTATTTGAAATGGCTCCAACCACGGCTGCAGCAACAGCAGCAATAGTGCTCTGGGTATAGAGTGCTTTAGTGACATTACTGCAATACAATAGTGCTGACTACCTGGCCCGCCCTTCTGCAAGCTGATTACTTATTCAAGTAATGTCACGGCATGTAATGGTAAGCACTTTCGACCTGCAGAATGTTAGACCTTAGGGCTGCATCGATACACATCTGCTTTGCTTTTATGAGCAGTAAATGGTATGGATCGTGAAATGGGTCTATTGAGAGGTGATTCTATAAAGACAACAAGACATGGTCGAATCGGAATCTTCTGTGATCACTTTTTTGTTTTCTGTTGTTACCGTTTACTCACAATGCAACAAAGAAGAAGAAACATTCTTACTTTGAATTCAAAGAAAACGATGAGCATCAATCAGAGCATAAGACCACTGTTGCATGTCTATAAGTGCCTTCTATATGTTGGTACCACTGACTGTGTCTCAACAGATTCAGAAGAGATGCAAGATAAGAGAGAATAGCACAGAGACCTGTTTTATCTCTGTTGATTCGTGATAGGGCCATACACATGTTGATGTATTCCCTGGCACTGAAGTTACCAGCTCCCAAAACCAAAAACCTCTAGGACAAGCCTGTGGAGTGCCTCCCCTCAGTGCCCTGCCTGGCATCCCATTCACTGCTCTGGCCTCATGATGATGGCTGATGGGCAGCAGCCCTGATGTAGAGGCTGGAAGCTGCCTGGGCTTCTCTCCCATGACCTCTTCACTCCCCCGCTGCTGACCATCCCAGCCCACGCACACCATGGATTTACTCTCAAAGCCACCAGAGTGCTCTCACTCACTCACACACACACACACACACACACACACTGCATTCAATTTGGAGGAGCGTCTGACAACCACAATCCCAGAGTCTTACTGTACATAGCAGCTGTGAAGAGGGGATTCCATTCATACAGCCCTGTGGGGTTCTGGAGTAGATTTCTAAGAATGAAAGACTTGCATTCAGATGGATGGCATGGCACTGTAGCTGTGCTCTCTCTCTGCCCTGATAGAGGGTATGGATTTTCTGCTGGTTTTCTCTACTCACATGTACATATTACCTCTTCTAGCCGGTGCCCCCGCACATTGACTCTGCACTGGTACCCCCCTGTATATATAGCCTCCCTACTGTTATTTTATTTTACTTCTGCTCTTTTTTTCTCAACACTTTTTTGTTGTTGTTTTATTTAACTTTTTTATAAAAAAATAATGCATTGTTGGTTAAGGGCTGTAAGTAAGCATTTCACGGTAATGTCTACACCTGTTGTATTCGGCACATGTGGCAAATAACATTTGATTTGATTTGGATGGAGCACTGGTCATGGTACAGTACCTCTGGGTCAACTGGCCCATACAGAGGGACCATGCAGAAGCTCTATGTGGTACACTCTACTAACCCATCTACATGAAACTAAAGCATACAGAAGAGTCCTTGTGAGAGTGAATACTTTGGAAACTATGTGTTCCAATGAAACAGAAATAAACTTGCTGCATGTGCAAATATGGACTGCTTTCCTTGCCGTTGTGGAGTAACGCAGTAAAATTGTGAGCAGCTTAGACTCAAACACTGTTTTTCCTATCCCTTGTGTGCCCTTACAACAAACAATGCCTCAACTTTAAACTTTAAAAAACATTTAAGCAGTAACTCTTGCGAGAGGTGAAGTTTATGAATATTACATGAAGATTTGCCCAGAAATAGAGAATCTCCCTTACTGCAGAGGCTTGAAGAGGTCACCACAGCGTTTTACTGACGACCTCAGCGTGGTTCTTGATACACAGGTCTTATACCAGCCTGGTCTCATAGACTAGACGTAACATAGTAAATGTAAATCCGGAACACTCAAGTTAGTATGATATGTTATGTTTGGTATGGTTACATAAGACAGATGGTTACTTAAGGCAAAAACTAAAGTAGTGTGGTTGGTCCGGGTGGATTGATGGGCATATAACGCGAACGTCTAGCAACCCAAAGGTTGCGAGTTCGAATCTCATCACGGAGAACTTTAGCATTTTAGCTAATTAGCAACTTTTCAACGACTTACTACTTTTTCGCTACTTTGCAACTACTTAGCATGTTAGCTAACCCTTCCCCTAACCTTAACCCTTTAACCTAACCTAAACTTAACCCTAACCTTAACTCTAACCCTAACCCCTAGCTAACATTAGCGAGCTAGCTAATGTTAGCCACCTTGCTAGAATTTGTAACATATTATATGTTTTGGAAATTCGTAACATACCATACGAAATGGGTGATGGACATCCACAAATTAATACATACCATACGAAACGTAACATATCATACTAAATAGAGTGTCGCAGATTTCCGTACAGAATAATACGGAATGCTCTGAGACCAGTTTGCTTATACTGGGTAGCGAACACATAACATTACGACATACCAGAGCTTTCGCCCCTAAACATCTATTAGCATTGATGCATTTTAAAAGACATGGATAGAGTTATATCATCACCGCAATAGAGCTAATGGTTTTGAAATGCGGCAGTTTAAGTCCATGGTCCTCACCATGCTGTCCACGTCATAACCAGCATGTCCATTCACTCAAATACTACAGTAGGTGCTTTGGAAGCACTGCTACATTAGTAGTAATAATAATGACGACATATATGTCTTTGATGCCAGATACACATTTTAATATAATCAGTGTCGACAAGGTGAACTAATTATCAAACAATATGGATGCTTAGATTTGACATGATGCAGTAAGTGGTCATTAGAAAAGCTAAATGCCTATTTTATATCATCAACATGGCCTATCTGGGTAGTCAGTGAAAAGTGATACCTGACAGCAGTGCTATTTGTCCTTGACCTTGGAACACAGGAAGTAAAACAAATGTGCTGTGGGGCTGAATGGTACAGAGCAACACAGCATCACATCTAGCACACTGACGGATACATACACCCTATAGCACAAGTCAAACTCATTCCAGGGCCGAGTGTCTGTGGGTTTTCTCTCCTCCCTTGTACTTGATTGATGAATTAAGGTCACTAATTAGTAAGGAACTCCTCTCACCTGGTTGTCTAGTGCTTAAAGATGCACTATGCAGAAATCGCTATGCCATTTCCTGGTTGCTAAAATTCAAATAGTTTGCTTAATTTCAGTTTATGTGACAAAACAAGCAAGTATAGTGTAGAAAATCATTGTACCATCTAAACCGCTGTGAAATATAATTTACATAACCACAAATATAGTTTTTTCAGCTGTTTGAAGCTTGTGTACAAAACCGAAAGTAAAAGATGCAAAAAGGAAACTTACGAACGGGAAGCATAGAAATAGCAAACACATAACAGATCTACCGCTTCTTAGACTTGCTTTCAATGAGAATGACAGATCTATAACTCACATTTCTATGTGAATTTGGTCGGGTCGCCCAAAAAGTAACATATTGCAGCTTCAATTGAAAGGAAAAAACACCTTTCAGTTGACCTTCATATGAGAAAGACATTGCTGTTGACATTGTTCTCAGCTGTCAATCAAACACATTCAAAGAGACTGGATTGTAGCTACACAGATCATAAACATGAAAGCAACAAACGTATGTCTCTATTTTCTCTGGTCTATATATAAAACATTCAACTATCAACTCCCTGTTCAAAGAGTCTATGCTTGGAGTGTCAGAAAGCTTTGTCCTTTGTAGGACGAGCTTACTTGAGCATACAGCTCCATAATCAAAGCAAAATAGTTCTGTTGGATTTAAAATGCTATTCAACGTAAAAAATTGCTCAATAGTTAGGATCAAAGCTAGCTTGCAGTACGGCTATTGTGTCTAAATCCAATGGAAAGGAATAGGGCCTTCAGCATTACAATGATAAGTACCTCTGAAATATTTAGTTATGACAGTTCCTCATACAGTGGGCACGCTGCAGAACAATCATCTGCACTTAACCAAGACAACAAAGGCCAGAGCATGTGTATCTGATACCTCTGTCTCAGGCATCTCTGTTGGAGGAAATGATGAGTAGAGGAAGAAAGAACACAGCAGACACATAAATAACTGTATCTGGGCCATTACAGACACTCACTGCACTGCACAGAGAAGGCCTATGTTTCATCCTGTGAGCCTGAGAGGGACTGAGAGCGACTGAAGTACGGTCAGCACGTGGCCTACTATAGGCTCTCCTGGCTAAGCCTGGCCGGACATGACGTCCCCTGAGCTCCTACACTACAACACATTACTCATCCACTACAGGCTTCATCCCTCCTGGAGCGTGGGATGACTAGAGAGGCATTTTACTGCATTCCATTTGCATCCCTGAGATTAACAACGTCATGATGCGAAAAAAAAAAGGAAAAAAAAGGCCAAAACAAAGCAAAGCATTTTAAACCAAGTGGGCAACCTTGAAAAAGATAATTGAGGAATAAAAAAACAACAGCCTTTATTTAAACTCTGTGAGCGCATGTAAGACATTAAGTGACCAGGATAAACGTGGGCAGGCAGGTGGGATCGGAGGGATCGCCACCCTGATTAGGTAGGCTAGACAACTCTTGACAGATGGATAGACAGATTAGGCATTCAGACATGTATCAAACATGACAGGCCAATGGTCACATCCGAACACTGGGTGACCCCCGTGGAGAGGCACATAAAGACCCACCACCAACCCAGCACACTACAGCCACATGCGACCCGCCTCCCAAACACCCCCCATCTTTCCTGATCACTTCTCCACGTGCAGTAGATCCTCCTTATTAGAGAGGGTGAAACACTTACAATAAAAGCACAGCTTGGCATTATGTCTGGTAATGGAGTGTAAAGTGTATTAACCCAAGTCCAGGTTGACACTAGGCTCTGACTAACAGTGTGTAAAGGTCATGTAAGGGTAATAAATGAACAATAGGGCAGGAACATCTGCTCAGCATCTGGGTGATGGGGAATCTGTCCATGGACTGCACTGAGGTGAGGACGAAGCCTTCCTTAACCCTAACCTGCAAGGTGCCAGCCGCAGGGCATCTCACTGAGTGTGAACTCCAGTACAAGGCTTCTGTTTCTTTCTCTTTTCTTACTAGAAAGAAACACAGACATAGTAGGGTAGTTGAGTCACCTTGTCATACTTCCTAGACTCGTGATGTATTCACTTGAGAAAGCTGGATATAGTTCCTAAAAGAGAAATATAAAATGCCCAGTGTAGAGGACATTACCAAGTTCATATGAGAAAGGGACGTGGGGTTAGCTAGTTTGTCATGTCCTTCGGTGTTTGTGGCGCGGTGACTGATTCCATCTTGTCAGCCTCCTGCGTGTCTTCATGACAGGTATGAGTCATTCTGGCCGGGAGCATCTTTCTGACTCACAGATTTTAACAGTCATGCTTCTCCACGTCTGTATCTTCCTGCCGGGGATAAATGTCTGATAGGCCTTGTAGTCATTGCTCCTCCAGTCAGGCTTTTTTAGGCGCAATTATCGCAGTGACATTACCGTGAGGTCACGAAGGCCCTAAACATGGGCTCAGTGCTTGCTGAATTAATGCACAGGAAACTGTTGAGCGTGAAAAACCCAGCAGCGTTGCAGTTCTTGACACAAACCGGTGCGCCTGGCACCTACTACCATACCCTGTTCAAAGGCACTTAAATATTTTGTCTTACCCCATTCAACCTATGAATGGCACTCATACACAATCCATGTCTCAACTGTCTCAAGGCTTAAAAATCACTCTTTTACATGTGTCCTCCCCTTCATCTACACTGATTGAAGTGGATTTCAATAAGGGATCATAGCTTTCACCTGGATTCACCTGGTCAGCCTGTCATGAAAAGAGCAGGTGTTCTTAATGTTTTGTACACTCACTGTATATTAACAGCCATCCTCGTTAATGTGGTCAGTGTTGGTCCCACCCAGAGCACCCTGCTGTGTATGATAAGCCCACTTGCAACTATCTTGAATGGTGCCTGATTCAAATGCCCCCCCATGAGGTGAAGGCACTGAATGGGGATGGGGGCAGCCACAAGTCAATAAACCCAATTTAATCTGTTCCCGTTAGTGCCATAAACCAGCTGAGAGGAGATTACAACCATTCTGGCCAATGACTCAATACAAAACAACAGGAAGTTAGCCTAGCAGGGGCTAGCTGGCTTCTGCTTGGGGCAGCTAACATGTCCATCAGTCCGTCAGGCAATATCGTAATCTCATTTTAATGGGCATCCCCCTCCCCCACCACGAGATGGGATGACCCTGAGACCCACCGCACAGCACTGCCTCTCTTAAGGGAGCAGTGTCAAAAAAAGAACATCAGTGCTTGCTGCTGCTCTCTCAACACTAGTGACAGCATTCACACAAAGAAAGGAGGAGCACATTCTAGAATAGATATTCTCCCCACTCCCAAACTGAGGCGTTTTGACAGCTGATCTGGAATCTTCTTCACACTCAGAATTTGAATTTTTTCATAAACATCCCTCAGAATTAGCTCTACTAGATTGGCTACAATAAATCAATAAACCACTGTTTGTTTGTCATCGATGACTAATACCACTGAATTTGGCCGGATTATGTCACATGCTTAACGTCATTTGTGTGGATTACAGATGAGGAAACAGTGCACATGCGATCTGACGGAAGAAAGAAATACCAACCAATCCCTTCCATTGATTCCCTACTAGAATTAAAGATGTTCTTATTTACTCCGGTCTTTAACAAGGTTAACCTGATTTCCAGATATCCTGCAGCAGTAAGGGTCTGATTTCATGATATGGTGGTTACTAAGACACTAAGTAAAAGGGTTTAGGAGAACATCCAAACACAGGTAGTTGACACAGCTTTGTCCTGGTCTTACCGTGACTACTGCAGTATAATACAGAACCACTCCATATTTCCATAGGTTGAACTGAACTGAACCACTGCGGTATAAGGTATAGTATGGTCACATCTGGATGGACGGATTGTGTTCTGTAGAATGGATGGATGGTAAATGAGATTATACGTCAATCTGGTTATCAACAGACAGGTGGAAAGGCTGAGATGTAGACACGCAACACAGAGAGCATGACAGGTTTCTGATGATTAGATACACCCATCAACAGGATGTTGTTTTACAGTAGTATTGCACAATGACTAATAACAGTAGGAGATCATGTTTCATGCTGCATATTTTCATGCTATTCATTTGAATTAGATGCAGAGAGCAAACATTTTTGATAGCAATAATTATTCTGATTGCACACGGTAGTATAAAAATGTCTAACAATGGGGTAATAATGACATGATGAGAAAGAAGGAAGTGGACTGGAATTAGAAATGCCACAAAGATAGGGACAAAATCGAGTCCACACAGTATTCATCAGACTAAAATATTATTTATCCGACATATTATGACACATTGTGTCTAGATAACAATGCTTTTATTACTCCATTTCACATGGTCTTTAATTCTTTCTGGATCTGAGAGGGATGTGCCACCACTAGTCCTCCAAAAACAGAGGCAAAGATACAACTGGAATGTAGTGGAATACAATCCCCCTGCGCAATACAAACATATAGGGAGAGACACAACCATGTACAGGCAATCTCTCTGCCTGTGGGCAGATTACAACCATGTACTACTGGCATACTATGTCCCTGCCCAAATAACACACAGTGTAGGCACAGATACAACCAAGTAGGCATTACAATCTCCCTGCCCAAAATACATACATGACAGATACAACCATGTAACGGCATCGGCTAACAATCCCCCTGCCCAGAAAACACAAATACAACCATATACCGGCATACAATATTCCTCCCTGCCCACTTCCACAGCCGTAGCAACACTGAGCACAAAGAGGGAGGCTGAGCTGACTTCCGCAAACAGCTGCTGCTCACCCTAACTAAGCATGTCACACAGAGAGACTCCCACTCTCCTTGACAACAAAGCTAACAAGCTAATTGTGCAGCCGGAGCAGAAGCACAATGGCTGTGTGGTTCCTCTCTCTGTCTTCCTCGCCTCTGTCACTAGGTAAGAGTGATACGGTAGACTGTACATACACTACGCTATCCTCCTCTCCTCAGCATCACCCCGGTTCCCCGCACGGTGAAATTCATACTCACCACATCTGTCTCTTAGGAGGGATGCAATTGTCTCTGTTGATGGCAGTCACCCCCATAGCCATCTGCATCACCGTTATGTATTTCTGGTACTTCATTTTGTCCACCACTACTAGGAATCCACACCACAAACCAGTTTATGGAAAACATGTAATTTCTATTCGCTGGCATCCGCCTGCACCGCGTCTTCCTTGTTCAGCATCAGAACGCCATTTCCAGCGCTGAAGGACTGACAGGGAAAACACTCCCCAAGGAGCTCAACAAAAGGTACCATGCCGCCGCAACCCATGTCTGCAATGACACCCTAATCTCATTAGTGCTCAAGAATAGATGGCTAATCCATTCAATGTTAGTCAGGACCAGAACATTGTTTTGTTGTTCGCTCTAGCGGCACTTTTCTTTGGAAAAAAACTCTAGCTAGCGAAACGCTGCAGCGGCACCCAAACGTCCATGTGTGAGGTAGGGGAGAGTGTGCTGTGCGTGTGTTTAACGAGAGAGAGAGCAGGGAAGAGAAGCGTTAGAGGGAGAGGGAGAGGGAGGGAGAGTGAGTGCATGTAGAGAGCTGAGAGGGGTTCTTGTCCAATGAAGAAATCTTGGTATTTCATTTGGGTGCATGATATATTTATTTTTATTTTCTCAGAGCAAACATATGGTTCATTATTAAACCCTATAAAAAATGGCTGTATAAAAACATGATTAATGGGCTGATTGAGGACTGCTCCCAGACCTGTAGTTTTTATACGTACTGAAAGGAAGGGGGAGGGAGAAAGACAGCAGAGAAAAAAGGTGGGAGGGAACGAGATATATTTGTTTCTCCCACAATGTAACGTTCACATATTCTATTATCAACATGTTGATCACATCAATTATAACATCTTTAATTAAAAATAAATCATTAAACATTTCTTCCAAACCTATCTTTAATTTTTTATTTTATTTTTTACAATTTACAATGTTATCTTACGTTTGCAGGTAACAAGGCAGTAAGTGAAACTGAAAAACAGGTTTTGCTTCATCTGTGCCACCTGCATATCTACTGACCTTGTTGTTTTAATCTCAATCTTTTTAGTCAGCCAAGCCCTGCTCCTACTGAGGTCTGAAGGGCAGTCACCATTATCCTATCACTGGCTCAATTAAATGGAGTTCAACAACAAAGCTAATTGGGAAAGGGCTTTGAGAGAGGAGAATGCAACATTCATCTGAATACAGAAACTGTTTCTAAGTGGTTTATGAACACAATACTCTGTATAGTTTGTGTTATTACTGTCCTAAACATACAGTTCTATATTGTTTTTCTGTCCTGACGCACAACGATGTGACGTCAGGAGGAGTCTCCCTTAACTACAGATCCCTGACTGTCTGGTCCCAGATTACAGATGATTAGGAATCTAAAAGTGGATTGAGTTAGATTAGCCAGCCTACTGCACACAGATTATTGTATACCGTTTCTGTTTCTCATCACAAAGAAAAACAAACCATCTCCATAATGAGACAGTTCTTCTCTTTTTCCCGTATAGATATATTCACCTCTATTATCTTATTTTGATACATCCCTGCTCAAGAATCTTACATAAAATATCATAAGAATCAGAGGTCAAACCAAGCGGTCAGCGGTCAAAGGTCAAAAGATCCCGGTATCACTGAGAGGACCGCTATTTTCACATTGATTCAAAGTCAAAATCTTTTTTATTATTATATTTTTGTACCACTTTTTCTCCCCAATTTCGTGGTATCCAATTGGTAGTTAGAGTCTTGTCCCATCGCTGCAACTCCCGTACGGACTCGGGAGAGGCGAAAGTCGAGAGCCATGCGTCCTCCGAAACACAACCCAACCGAGCCGTACTGCTTCTTGACACAATGCCCGCTTAACCCGGAAGCCAGCCGCACCAATGTGTCGGAGGAAACACCATGCACCTGGCGACCGTGTCAGCGTGCACTGCGCCCAGCCCACCACAGGAGTCGTTAGTGCGCGATGGGACAAGAACATCCCTGCCGGCCAAACCCTCCCCTAACCTGGATGACGCTGGGCCAATTTTGCGCCGCCCCATGGGTCTCCTGGTCGTGGCCGGCTACGACAGAGCCTGGACTCGAACCAGGATCTCTAGTGGCACAGCTAGCACTGCGATGCAGTGCCTTAGACCACTGCGCCACTCGGGAGGTCCTAAACAGTTATCAATGTCCAATTCTAAGCAACAGTAAACACGTCTAAATCTTCAGAGACAACAAGAGGTGGAAAACACTATACAGAACATTAGACTTAAAAGGCCTGTCCCTGTCCGTTCAGATGTGTGTAAGATACTGTTTCTCTCTCTGCAGCTCTGTGATCTCTGAGTTCATGATCCAAGCACTGGGACTGTTTCAGAGTCGCTCTTCTCATGGGAAGGACCGTTAACCTTTAAAGGTTAAACAAGTCTGTGCGTCATGTTACAGCTAATTCATTTGAGCACAGCCACTGGACTGGATACACCAAAACATAAAAACAACATGACTGAATTTTATATACTGCAGTATAAGATATGCAATATTCAAACGGCTTGTGAAACTGACGTCAGTGCGGTGCTAACAGTATATCTTCCTCCACTGTCCCTGTCGCCATACCGGGCTGGAACCAGTGATCCTCTGCTTTGCAAAACATATGTGACCGCACTCCTTGACAACGTACACGTATTTTTCCACATACTATGCTAAGGTGCTAACATGCCATGTTGACAATAGAAGAATAAAACATGCAGTCGCTTGGCTAATAATACATTCAGGGCCAGTGAACGGCTGCCATTTTGTTTCTGCTTGTATGTCTATGGGCTGTATTCTGGGGGTAAACAAAGTGCCTGTCCAATCACATTGAGGGATGGGGCAGGGTGGCCTGTGTTTTAAATGGATGGTAGAGGTCTGTGTTTTAAATGGAAAATTTGGCCAGGGCACTTGACTTAACGGTTAGTAATCTTTGATTAAGCGCTAAGGGATTCTTAATGACTAAGCGGAGCCAAAATCTCCTCTACCTCCTCATAAAGTATGTCACTGCAGAGGAACATTACCCACCATCAGCCTGGCTGGGAGGGGGAGGAGGGGTCTGACGCAAGGTAGGTTATATATCATATGCCAATATGTATAGGCTATTGTGAAGAAAATATTCCTTCAAAGGGCTAAATGTAACATTGACTACACTAGGCCTACATACAAATGGGCAAACAACATCAATAGCCTAACCCACTCAAGCTATAGGCTATATGATTACAAGAAATAAATCGGAGACCTCAGACCCCTACTGTATGGATTTAATCAGCCAGGAAACCACAACATCCTTAAATGTAATAAATAAATCAACAGCACCAGAACAACAGATACGTAGCTAAGCTCATGCCAGGCTGTACAAACTGGTGAGCAGCCGGTGAGGAAGGTCAAAATGAAACTGCTATTGTCAGCACCACTTTGTGTTTGGGAAGAACAGAGGGGTGTCCTACTGAAATAACTGTCCACAGCCAAAATCTCACTTTCTGACTTCCTGTCTCCTTAGTCTTATTTCAGACAGAATGGAACTTCAGGGAATGGAACTGTTAATACATGACCAACATAAATACAGGTGCGCTATCTTCATTTGTCCCTGCTTCTCACAGCAGGAAACTAATCCTGCAGAAATATAAATGTGAATTATTATGTGGATTATAATTAATGGACATTTTTGGAGATGTTGATACATTTTTCGTAAGGGCAAATCAAGTCCAGTGTTTCCCCTATATGCATTTATGTATTGCTAAATCTTTTACTTCGGAATGGTAAAAAGTTTTCAGTGTAAACTTAAACGAGTAAAACCAAATATAAAGTATGTCGGAAATATAATGGAGCAAGATATTTTTTAATAAGATCATCTTTGATAACAAACAATCACCAAAATAAAAACTTGACATTCAGGGAGAAAAAATAAAAGACAAATTGTGGCATTGATTTTGTTATAGCCTTATGTTTGATGTGTGCAGGAAAATTATCTGCGACAACAGATCGATCAAATTAAAATAACAGATCTGTATACACAAACACACAAACATACAGAATCACGCACGCAAACACACAAACACACTGTGGAAGGTTTGAGGTTGGCGAGGGCAGCACCACAACAGGTGAAGGACCTGGGTTGCAGCCATGTGGAAGACAGAGAGGACAAGGTCAAGGGAAGCGCAAGGTGATGCACAAGTCGACCCACAGCAGATTCTTTCTCTGATGCTCCCCACCCTACCCAGCACACCTACATCTCCCAGCTCCCAGTCACAGGTGACAGAGCCCAGCCTCCACTAACTCAGATAAACACCAGCAGTCTTCCCGCCCACTGACCACATGCCACCAGGATCAGGCTGAGAGAGCACACAATCACATCCATTAAAGTTACTGTAGCTTTACAGCGGTCACACTTCCACATAATTGCAGTTGTGGAGTGGAATTGAAGAATATTGGATTGGTTTAAGATTGAGATTTCCACTAGGAGCAGCACCCATCTAATGTGTTGATTATCCCTCGCCATAAATTACCCTATCCACTGACCCCAAGCCACGATTAATCACATGCAGCAAGATTAAATCTGTAGCCTTGAACTACAGTCCCTCACTCTCTACCAGTCTTTCTCTCACTCAAACACATTATAGAGAAACACTTACACTGCAAACATTACTGCAAACATAACACACACACACAAACACACACTCACACAAAGGGAGACACGGACACTGTCACGATCGTCGTTACAGGAAGCGGACCAAGGCGCAGCGTGTGATACAAACATGACTTTACCAAACCAAAACACGACTCGTGAAGTCCAACGGTTAAACATACCGAAACGGAACAAAAACCCACAACACCCACAGGAAAACATACAGATTAAATATGGCTCCCAATCAGAGATAACGAGCCGACAGCTGACACTCGTTACCTCCGATTGGGAGTCATTGACCAAACATAGAAATAAACCCAACAGAAATACAAACATAGAAATACACCCAACAAATGAACACACCCTGGCTCAAATTACAGAGTCCCGGAGCCAGAGCGTGACAGTACCCCCCCCTAAAGGCGCGGACTGCGACCGCGCCTCAATACGGGCTAAACAAGG